AAAATATTATTTTTAATACTTATCGAAATAGCAATTTAATATGTATCCAAATAGCTATAAAATAGGGTATAAAATAGCTGAAAATAGATATAAAATATCCTATCTAAATACCCTATTATAGTGTCCTTTTTTTCAACTATAAATACCGTATTTTATAGCTTTCTCTATAGCTATGAAATAGGTATCTGATAGCTATTTAATAGGTATATAACAAGGTGGAGAAATGGTGCTGGTTCCACACCATTTCGCGGGGAAACAAAGCCAAGAAATACCAAAAATTAAAAATTCTCCACCTTGTTATATACAGTTTTGGGCCGCTTCTTAGTGTTTAATTTTTTCATTTAATAGGTATATTGAAACCTATTAAAAAGGTATTTTACTTTTGAAAGAGAACCAAAATTGAGACCTTGAAAATCATAAGGTGGTAAGTGCATTGATACGTTGCCAAGATTGTGCAACTGTATACGATAAATGCAGCAAATCAAAACCATGTAGAGGCGAAACATTTTTAGCAAAAATTCCCTGGGCTATGCTTTTTTTTTTTTTTTTTTTTTTTNTGTTTTTTTTTTTTTTTTTTTTTTGCATTGAAGTTTGCAATTCTATATGATTTTGGTTTGCAAAAAATAAAGTTGCTCTATCATAGCAACGTTGCAATGCAATTATCATCTTATGGTTCTCAAGGCTGCAACTAACCAAGGCAGTAAGAAAATTCACTAACATGTTTAAGAAAATACACAATAATTATTGGGTTTCTTAAATTTGAAGGTTGAATGATGCAATTTATTCCACCCATTTGGTGTTTTAAATTATTCACTTTCCCATAAAGTACATGACTTCCCTTAATTTAATAGTCCAAATAAAGTCTTAAAGTCAATAAATACTTTTTGTGAAAATATTGTCCGCAATATTCTTAAATGATGTAAAGGTGCCGGACTTTGTACGGATATTTTCAAAAGATTAGATGCTAACTGGGAACTGGGTATATGTAACCGTAACCCTTGCAACAGGATGAGTGGCTTGAAAGAAGAAAAAACGTATTAAATAGCTATAAAATACATATTCTCAAACGGAAATTTTAAACCAAGATAAATGCGCATGGAATATCTATGAAATAGCTATAAAATATGCTATTTGTACGATACCGTATAAAATAACAAAATAAATAGCTATAAAATAGCCTATCCGGCCGATACCTATTCGATAATCCTATTTTGGCTACTAGGGTGGCTGTTTTGGAGATAGAACGCTAGAAAAATCGCATATTTTCTCATTTTTGAGCACTTCTGGATGAATTCTATTTTTGTTTTGGCCCTTATTTCATCGATCAGGAGCATGAAACGTTTTTTATCTAAGTGTACTCATCCTTTGGTTTATGCAGAGAAAAGATACTGAAAGTCGCGGTGACAGTTTTTGAGTTACTTTCGTGGACGGGTGAATAATTGACAAGTAAGACCGACGGAAAGAAGCACAATATGGAAATATGGCAAGGGAAAGGACGCGCGTTGTTGACGGCGTAGTGATACAACTATTCGTGCTTGATGGATGTCCGTGTTGCATTTGAAAAATTGAAGGCGCGACGGCGTTAGGTGAAATCGCAACGCTTCATTTTCTACTGCCAATAGGGTAGTTCCCAGATCCGAAGAAAAGTTTAAAAAGAGGCCCGAATACATCTCTCCTACTTTCGGCTGTGGTGGCTCTAGAATTGTTTTCTTTTTTTCGGTTTGAAATCTGATTATTATTTTAAAGGATGTATTGGTAGATTTATATCTGTAGCTCTATGTACTGGTATCATATCACTCCCATATAAAAGAGAGTCGGGTCAGTTTGACCTGGCCTGGAATTTCTAGGAGTAGTTGTTGCAAAGAATTCCTTGATTTTTTATTTTTCATTTTACTCAGTTTAATGTCGGATTTTTTTTACGATGTATTTGTAGACCTGCATCTAAAACTAGACACGAAGTAACATTACGTGTAGGAATAGATAAACTCTTAGTAAAACTTAGTATAGGCTCAAACGATTATGATTATATTCATTATTCTAAAGAGGTGGTGAAAAAACGGCCAAAAATGCCTCAACGCATTTTCGAACTGTGAATGCTTGACGCGATAAAGTTGCTCCCGAGATGGCTTAAACCGGTCGCGGTTTTTTTCAGAAACGTAAGGTTGCGACGTTGCCATTTTTTAAAATGAAAACCCTTAAAAATGTATAACTACTCTGCATCTCAACCGATTTCAACGAACCTATTTTTACATGTTTTACACATGCTTTAGCATGCCTCACACATTTATATGTAGGCAGCACTTATTTTATTTCGTTTTGATGTAGAGTGTGCAGCTAGCACCGTTTTCTATACTTTTCAATGGGTTTTGTGCCAAATTTTATTGTACGAGTGTTGTTTTTTCGTTTTTTAAAGTTAAAAAACGGTTAGATTACTGTAAAAAGAAATTAGTCATAATTTAGAAGTTCTGCCTCTTGGTAAAATGTTATAAAATGTTTACAATTAAATTACTGGTTGTAATCAGGGAATTATAACCGCTCAAAGATCACCAATTTTTTCGTGAATTCGTTGTTCTGTATTGAGGTTGCCAACATGACGTTGTCTTGGTGCGATGACGTAGCAAGTGTTATGATTTTTAATAGTATGTGTTAGAACAAGTTTCTGTCATGGCGGCGAAAGAAATATGTGAATATTCTAAACTTTTATACTGCGAAGGATTAATCAATTTAATCAAACATGTAAGTACTTATCTAGTTGTTAATCGAACATTTTTTTCTAAAACTTCCAACTTTGTTTTTTGTATTTCACAGTGGCAGCTTACTTGCACATAATAAAAAATTCTTCTCTACGCGGCTGTCAACCACTGGAGGAAAACAACGCGTAAAAATCGTAGAACAACCATGTTCAAGTAATTAAAGAGATAAATGAATTCAATTACAGACGGGTGCTCAAGGAAAAAGTGTATTTATCTGCGATTACATGTTACACGCCACTCTTCGTGTTTCATTTTATTCTAGGGTTTTTTTTTTTTTTTTTTTTTTTTTTTTTTTTTTTAAGAATATCTCGGAATGATTTCACATAAAATCATCGAACATCTCGGCGCGATATTTTCGTCCGTCCTTTTTTTCATTTTACTAAATCCAGATTAATTTTACGTGGTCCAAGTTTTTGAATCATCGCAATTAAGACACAGATTTCCCCTTTGCTCAATCGTAAAAACCGGTCAAAGAATCAGAAGTGCCTAACTGATTTTAAACACGAGCAAAGAAAAGTTCGACCCGATATTTTCGTTCACTCTATTTTCTTCTTTATTTTCATCAACAAAAAAAATTAAACATCGTCCAAATTTTTGAATCCCTGCAAATGAGATCAGAAGCATACTGGCTCCTCGAAGCGGCCGGAGAAAATTATCCTGAAAACATACAGGATTGCAAAATCTCTGCAATCCTGTGATCCTTGGATTGCGAGCTCGCGGTGTGCACTGTTCGGAAAGTGTGTACACCGGGGTAGGTTCAACACCAAGAAAATACGTCTTTTCAACGACTTGAGCGCGCACCGTGGTACACGCGCAATGCAAGGAGTATCCTGCAGACTTGTGAGGCGCTATATCATGAGTGGCACGCAATGCATGAAGTATCCTGCGGTCTTGTAAGGCGCTACTATGCCTTCCGCGCCGTGCGTGCAAGCCCCGCGCCGCCGGCCGCACTGTGTTTGATGCGATTATTCAAACTTGCAGCGTCAGCGGTTTTCAACTTCTGATTTTGAAGTTTTTGTAAAGTTTGTTGGAATTATTGTCATTTCAAATGATGAACATTACACAAAACCCAACTAATTTTCTTCTCTTGATTAACATATTTTTATAAATAGTTTTTAATTTAAATAAAAGCATGCAAGTGAAGCGACTTTTACGTGTAGATTCCCTCGTTGTTCAGTAATGTAATGGGCGTGATCACTTGGACTACATTTTGCTATTCGAAACTACAATTATTTCTGGCTCACCTGTAAAAAACTCTTGTGTGCATAAGGAAACCAACGGCACAAACGTTGTTCCTAAACGAAGTCAGAAATTGTGGATCCTATAATTGCAAATGAAGTTCATTTGATCATTGAGCCCTTTCAAAGCTGAGGGTATGGATTCGACGAAGCGTAGAGTATAGATTTGATCAAAACGTAAAAATGTGAATTGATCGAAAAACTCGTGAATCGATCGAATCGACACCGGGTTCTTTCATAATTTGTCGGTTGAATCTGTGTCGATCGGTTAACGGCCATCGGTACGGTGGTAAAGATTTAAAAGTTTATTATTGTAACTTTTCCTGCCGATTTTTTCTCTCTTAAATAAAAAGACTTTTCCCTTGGGCACGCTAATGCAACATAGATGTGTTGCATTTAACAACTTGTATAATATTATTATTGGTTTTTAAGTTATACAAATTAAACGTCACTGGTGTCACCAAATTTGAGAAAATATTTAATATGAGTGTTCGACTTATTAAACATTGAGAAAAAGGGGGATATATCACACGCTAATAGTATAATCGGGCATTTGACAAAATGCCTAATGCAAACAGTCCAATAGTCTAACTTTGATCGAAATTCTGATTCTCTGCCTTATTTTAGACATAATTCATTACTCCTTTAAAAAGTAATTTTTTGAAAAAATGTGCATCATACAATAATGTTTTAAACGTGTTGATGTTTAGCTCGTGAACGAACATTTATTTTAAAATTTTCAGCATGACATAAAAAAAAATTGTTCTCAATATTTTAAATTTAAAATGTTTGAGAAGCATTTGAAAAGCAAAGAACAGGGAGAGTTCATGGAAATGATGAGTTATTTGTCTCAAAATATTGAAAACTCGTGAGCTTTAAATTTACAAAATTTCATGAACGTTCCAAATTTGACTATCTACTTAGGCATTTCATCAAATGCCTGATTCGACTGATTGCTCGTGACACATAGATTTATAATAAGTGATGAAGAGGTGAAGTAGGTACTCACCTGACATGATTTTCAGGTAGGTTCTCAATCACTCATTTCGTCGGAAATATTTAAATTCACGATTCTAAAATTTATATCGTCAAACATACATCCGGTTAGTTAATATAGTGTGGTGGGGATTTTTTTTTTATTGATATACCTCTACTTGAGATCTGACCACAGAAGATCGGAAAGCAAAAAACGAGCACACTTCAAATTAAACGAGGCAGAACTGGGAGGAATCGAAGTCTCTGGAGCGGGTGGATTGGGAGATGCCGCTGATGCAAGTAACTCGATGGACTCATTTAAAGGGTTACTTTTACCGCCCAAACGCCGAGGCGGTACTTTTATACCTGCGCAAATCTCCCACCAGATCGTTCAGCATCACTTGTTGCCTAACCTTCAGGCGGCGGAGAAACCTTTGGCACCCCCTTTCCTGTCACTCCCCCTCGTGCTCAATATTTTCGAGCCTCCCCCGTTTACAAGTACACCTTTCGTTTACTTATTTCGACGTTAAAACACAGGAGCCCTCTTCGTTAACTCCCGGGATTAAAAATTTCATCACGGTGGCGATGGGGGTGGTTATCAAGACAAACATTTGAAAATTAAAATGCGCCGTCGGGAAATTGAATCGAATCGGGAAATATTTCCACAAGTTCCGTGGCGTGCTTTGCGATATATCGATTGATCTGCTATTTAAACCTGTCGAAAAGGATCGACTATCAGGGTGTTTGCAACAAACACCTTAATAATCGATTCTTTGTCATAGCTTCAAATGGGGAAATATCGATATATATCGAAGCACGCCACGCCACAGATCTCCAGGCTACTCTGTAACGCTCTTACTGACATTCATTTTGCTCCTTTGTCGGCTTCAGTATCCAATCGTTATCAACGATGAATTACGAGGAGCTTGCTGAAATTGACCACTTGCACAGTTTTGGTTCATTGCTCCCATTGAAAGAACTGAGGATCCTGATGTCCCAGGAATTTTTCCCCGGAGTTTTTTGACCACCGAAAACCGCTAAAAATTAACTTAAAAACGCCCCAAAATTCGGATTTTCAAAATGGTCCTTTTTACGCGGGAACGGATCCGGTGCGCTCGTGAGTAAAACTCGTAAGAGTAATGCAGAAAGCTTGAGTCGCGAAGTGCTACGGGGGTTTAACTACGAAGCGCTCTTAAAAAGAAACTCCGGCCGCGGGAGCCGCAATTACGGGCTATATAAACATACCGTCCGTTCCGGGCTCAAAGTCCAAAAATTCCGGCTGCTGGAGGCGTAGCTTCGATTGCTCCGGGTTCAGAGGCCGAAGCTACGGCTCCAGCAGCCGAAATTTCCGGCCTTTGAGCCCGGAACGGACGGTATGTCTATATAGCCCGTAATTTCGGCTCCCACGGCCGGAGTTTTTTTTTCAGTGCGGTCAGGGGGCACCGTGTGCACAACGTAGCGCCGCTCGCCTGGTAAGTCCACTCTTCCACACGCGATTCCTTTTCACACTATTTATAGCTGCAAAACTTTTAGGAAAATTAAACGCTTTTTCCATCTCCTTGTCAATGTACAGGAGAATATGACAGTCGATTTCTGGGTTCGTATTAATTTTCATCTCCTTTTCCCCCATTTTAATTTTTTTTTTCTATCGTTGAACAAAAAACTTTATTTGGCGCGGTAGACGATTGACAGGCTCGTGCATGCGGCAAATATCGTGGGACGGCAAGTGCTGATTTTCATTTTTAAATACAGAAAAAAAAGCTCTGGAGTCATTCGCCACGCTGGCTGCTAGTTGAGGAAAATCAATCGTTTGGGGGGAAAATGTATCACATCTACCATAGTGCTCTAGCTGAGCAGTAAGAAGATTCTGACACCATGTGGGTCTCTATGTCTGTGATTTTATCATGTCTCTGTCTGCTGGATACTGTCATGGTCAACACTCTCAAAGGTAGAATTTGTTTTTTGATGTTCAATAATGCTTAAGAGGTCAACAAAATTTTTAAACGGATCCTTCAAGGTAAACTGTAAGACACAATTTTGAGATAGGTAACCTCAATGTGCATTCCGACGTCCGGGAATCATATTCGAAGTAAGGTTTTCCTCTCGTTTCTCCATCAATCGATCATACACTCTTTATAAAGAATTGGAACTTTCGTTTGTGGAGGTATCCACCTAGGTGAATAAACTCATGAAGATGTTTTTTTTTGGTTGCTTTTTTTACCTCCATAAAATTATTATGACATGGTTTAAATCGGTGAAATTTTTTTCTCGTTTGTGCGTCAGCTTCTAAAAAACTGTAGTTTTTGTGATGGTGCTCACGGGTTGCCAGAATATTCAACCTTTTCCAAAATTGCACTCTATAGCCTTAAGTCCAATTTTTGAGACTCTGAGTGGGTGTATTATTAACTGTTCGATTGAAACTTATACGAGTGTAGCAAATCCCTTGGAAAATATGTACGTGTAATATTACATTCAAACGGTAAACCCACTCAAAACAAACAAAAAATGCATGCGCACGCATAAAAATGCCTTGGGGGTATAAAAAGAGTAGACTTCAGGCAAATTGTTACCTCCGTTCTATTCTCCAAATCGCGAATGGGTTTTTTTTTTCATTCGATAGGAATACGCTACGGCGTGTGAGGTTACTAAGACATTTCTTCATCTGATTGACGTTCTTATCCGCTCCTATTTTAATTTTTTAAAGGAGAGCAAATCGACATCATTCCAAGAAGTTTCCGCAAAGTTCTCTTTGCACAGAAAAATCACAGTAGTTTTTAAGAATTGCCGTTGAGTAGCTTTCTGTTCCAAAAAAAATATGACCGGGATTCTGCTACGTGAAAAATCGATGCGTGGTTGCGGAATTACACCGTCGAATTATCACATCTAAGACTCGTAAGAGTTACATGCCCAACAGATCATAGGGCCTGCCATAATGGAGACGAATTTTGATTTTAGCGCGTCCATTTAGGAGATAAGAGATTTTAAACATTTGATTATTTTGTGCAGCAAGAAGAAGAGTCACAAAAGGATGAATTAAAGTAAAGTTTGTAGAATGGCTTCCGCAATAGAAATGGGATGATTGTGAATAAAATAAAATTCCGAAATAGATAATCAGAAAGAAATTGATCGGTTGCAAATAAATCTAAATAACATATCGCACTGACATTGCTGAATTTAATTGTAGTTTTTTCTCATTTTTCAACTTGGTAATTTACGGACAGCAAACTTCCGCATTATACGTGAAGTTATTTTACAATCAGGTGGACAGCGTTTAGTGGAAGGAGACGAAACTCTTCCAGGAGCTTGTATGCTGTACCTACAGTTTTTATTTGCTGAGTGACTTCCCTTCGTTTTGGTTCCATGCGTTTTATATGAGAATATTGCACTCCATATTCAACTTTTCCTTTCTCTCTGATGAAATAATCTCTCTAGTAAGTCGTACGATCGAAAGTAGCTCCATGTCCTATTGAGTAATGCAACTTCAAACGTATTTTCCTTTGTTCCAAATTCATGCCATTACAGGTTGACGCACGCTGATGGAATAAGTCTCAATCATCTGGTCGAATTAGATGTTGCAATACATCGGACGTAAAATTGAAATTGGCTTCATTGCAGGTTCAACTGATATTTTAAAAAGTTTCATTGTTTGAGACTTAGTTTCTTAATCCCTCTCATTATTTTGTCATACTATGTATTTGTGACCCCTTGTAAACGCGTATAAATCCTTATTCAAATGGACAAATATCAGTGTCCATGAGAAAAGGTACCTGACTCATATTTTTAACCGAGACGAGTTATTAACGTTTCTCAAAATGCTAATGACGACAGCCATACCGTGCGTGTAATTTGGTTGCTCTATATCATGCCGTTAATGAGACAAAGTTCCTAGAATCGCAATATGCATTAGAATGAGGCCAAATTGTTTTTCTGTGTGATCTTGAAATGACGAAAATGAAGTCAGGCACTTTTTCCCTGCACTGAAAAAAAACTCCGGCCGTGGGAGCCGCAATTACGGGCTATATAGACATACCGTCCGTTCCGGGCTCAAAGGCCGAAAATTCCGGCTGCTGGAGGCGTAGTTTCGGCCTCTGAACCCGAAGCAATCGAAGCTACGCCTCCAGCAGCCGGAATTTTCGGCCTCTGAGCCCGGAACGGACGGTATGTCTATATAGCCCGTAATTGCGGCTCCCAGGGTCGGAGTTTTTTTTTTCAGTGTGATATTTCTCGATTTGAAGGTATGGTATAGAATCGGTTGTTTTGGTGTTCATTTCGAACATCCAGTTTATCGATCATTATCAATGGGTGTAAATGACAGATCAATCAATGAATCGCAAAGCACGCCACGCCACTGTCACTGATGTGGAATTTTAAATGCTCACCAGCTGGTGGAATTTTATACCTGAAATAAATTTGGAACAAATTCGCACGTAATATCACGAAAAACCCCGTTTCGTAAATACTGAGAGTCACACTATCACACTTTTGTACCCGCTAAGCACGATCAAAACACGCACGACCTTTATTTTCCCAGTATAGTCACAAAATATCTATCATAGATCTCGAGGAAGGTAACGTCCAAAAAATCGCAGGAAAAAAAAAATCCCAAACATCCGAAACCGAATATTAATCTGAAAAATTTTAAACTTACCTAGATAATTCAGATTGCTTTTTCCTGACCTTACATTTCTCTTTTTCTTGCAGATAACAAACCTGCGTCAGACCTGGTGAAATCGAAAAAACCGTCAAAATTTTCATGGAATCGTGAGTCAATTAATTTCATCTGCACTTTTTTGCATTTCATCTGCAATTTTTGGATCTAAGTTTTAACTTTTTATTTTTGGGCTCGGCTGAGAAGGTATTTCAAATAATTTATTTCAGTTTTCTCCCGATGAAGGATCCTCCTACTTGTGGAAAACTCGCTCCAAAAAGACTTTTCATTCAGATTCCAAAATCATTTTATCAACCACCGAGGACAAAGAAGAACTGGTGCACTGGGATTGGAATATTATGTATAGTTACAAATGGACCGAGTATAACAGAAAGGAACCAAGCCACATCAGCTACTGCCAAGTTTAAGTGAGCAATTAAGTTTTTTACGAGAGAACGTTTGTTCGGATTCCTTTGAAAATTTTAAGGAATTTGCTTCGTACCATGGAGAATTTTCACTGAAATTTGCACGAAAATCCGCAAAACCGTTTTTATGGAAAAATTAAATTTTGCAATACCTAGCTGATGTGGCTTGGTTCCGTTCTGTTTAACGTGGTCCAAATTACGATATTATTTGAGTTACCCGGATCAAGCGATTACGGAGAGGAACACTCTAGCAAGGTGGGCTATAGCGATGTTAAATGGAGACCTCTGGGGGATATACAGGCTAAATCAACATTTAATTTTTTTTCCCGTGCACCCCCCCCCCCCCCTCCACCCCGGATAATTTCGAGAGATTTTCTGCGAAGAGAACATTGAGTCGAATTATAGGAAATTTCGAGCTTTGGAAAATTCCATATTTCAGAAAAAAAATGATTTTATAACTTATAGGGAGATAAAACAATTTACTAAAACGTAATTTTGACTCGAAATGATTGTAGGCTCCACGGTCTATAGACATCTGTCTGATTTGCGAGGGAAAAGTTCAACAATAATTTATCACTGTTTTTTTTTTTTTTCCAATCATTGAAACATGTTTTTGTGCCTGCTCAGTGAATGTTACTCGCACTTTGCACGCACGGTGGATCAATTAGACTGCTCTTGCAGATAACACTCTGTACTGTGTAGCGGGTATATCAAAATCAGTTCTTTATTCGTCTTTTAATAAGGAAAACTAACAATTTTTTTTTTTTGCAGAATTTTATAAATGAAACATATCCTCGGCAGAACGATGATCAGTTTTTTCATTCGCAGCCAGACATCTGCGTCTTTTTTTACCATTTCGAGAATTGTTCCAACATGATATAGTATATCTCCAGCTGCGGGCCGATTGTTGAAATTTATAGACAAAGCTATAGACAAAGCAGGCAAAAGGGATATGGAGGGATCCATTAGTGGAAGCGGAGGTAGGTAGTACACTATCTGCAACCCGCGAGAGATCCTATAGTTAATCCATCATTTTCTCCCTTAGTCTATAACAACTACCCATTTCAACCAATAGGATTGCTTCATACTCCCGATGTTTTCTTTGTCCATCGCTGTGTCTATCAATTTCAATAATTAGCCCGCTGAACGGTTGAAAATATCGCAGAATCGTATTGATGTTACGAGAGCAGGAATTTAGTTTTTCTCTTTCAAAGTCAAATCCTTTTTTTAGACCTTTGCGTGTATGGTTGAAATGAGAAGACTCTAGTGAACCAGAATATAAACCTCGGTACGCATTTTTAATCGTTGGCTCTTTCTACTCTCTCCACTTTGTTTTTGAACAACACTATGCTGCTCAACAGTATAAAATGCTCGACATGACATACACACTCGAAGAAAAAGTTTTTACATTAACGGTTAACCTCATTTTAGTTCATCATTTATTTGGGGATTTTATTCAGGTGTGTTAAAGGGTGAATGTAGGTATAACGTAGTGGTGAGGCGTGGATGATCGATTATCGAATTTCCCCATTTGAAGCTATGGTAAAGAATCGATTATTAGGGTGTTCGTTGCGAACACCCTGTCTATCGATCCTATCCCGTAGGTTTAAATGGTAAATTAATCGATACATCGCAAAGCAAGCCACGCCACTGGTATAATATCGATACGCAAAGTCGGAAAGTGCGTAGCTCCGATTGCAATGTTGCAAATTTCCGCTTCAGTTTTATTCTTCTACAAGATTAGTCACAAACAGTTTTTCTGAAAGTTTCCTGTGAATTTCCTTCAGTCTCTCAAACACCCGAATCCATAGAAAGTTACATGGAGATATTTTGCCTAATTTTCTCTCAAAGAATAAGAAGAACTCGGTCGATTTTGAAATATTGTAATGCAGATTGCCGATGCTTATTTTTCGACCTAGTCATCGATACCTCGTATTGGTCGAGAAGCTTTACGAGAATAAGTATGTGCCAGTGGCGTGGCGGGCTTTGCGATATATCGATTGTTATGCCATTTAAACCTGTGGAAAAGGATCGATAATCAGGGTTACACATTAGTAATCGATTATTGCAAGTTCGTCAGTGTAGTTTCGGGGAGTGCTCGACGCTCGAGTAACACAGGTGAGTGAAAAACTATTACCAATTCTAATCCCTACAGCCATAGAGAAAAAAAAGGAGGTGTTTGCATCTTGAGGTTTGTTTACCTTGTGACGTAGGTCGGTACAACCTGGCCAGCAAAATCCGGAATTCGAAGTATGAAAAACGGACCATCATGACCCATTTTTATGCTTAGATCAACTCATGATATAAATTTAAACACTTTATGTAGTAAGCATTTTTCCCATAAACTACACCACTCCAAGAAAATCGGTGATAAAAGTCGCGGTACCGACCTACGTCATCAAAAAAATTCCAAGATGCCCGAAATGCAAACACCTCCTTTTTTTCTCTATGCCCTATAGCATATTTTAGGTCTAAACTTTCATGAAGTATGCGCCTTAAATCTATCTATTTTCATGACCAGAGACAAAATGCCGTGATTTTTACTCTGTCTCTGTTTTCATACCCAGGTATTTCTAGTAGCGTTCGGAGATCTTTCACAGGTTCCGGATCACTATCTCGAGGCGATTCACTTTGTTCGAACAGTTCTTTCAACTCCATGTGCTCCAACACTGGGAAAATGGTCAGGTCTACGTCCAAAGGTACAGTACTTTGCTTAATGTTATGAATACATTTTAAGGTAAGGAACCCTAGAGTTCCTTTATACTGAGAGTCAAGACAACACCCCCTCATGGAGTCACAAACGGGAATAAAGATTACAGAGATTGAACGTTTTTCGTAATCTTTGATCGGCCCATTCTCAAATTCCTTTCTCCGTTCCTTCTCTCATTCCGTTTGTTCCTTGCCGAACCCATAATTCCCTGGTCCATTCCAGATTATAATCTTTGCAATCGGCGAAAATGTAATCTTTATTCCCGTTTGTGACACTGTTAAGGCCTAAAACACGGGAGCCACAATCAAAAATGGATTCACATTGTCTTGACTCTCAGTATAAAGGGACTCTATGGAACCCGAGGAGCGTCTTCCCGCAGCCTCTGACGGCACGGAAAACGCTATGAATCTGCACCGAACAATTTTTCATTGAGCTAGCGAACCTTATCGAAAAGCACAGAAAGAGGACGCTCCTATCAGTCGCAAATAGATCAAGATATTGTCTGCTCATGAAAATTAAAGGCGTTTAGTCAAACGTGGTGACAGTCTGTTCTTGTTTTAAAGTGTCGACTCTCAAACACTGAAGAAAGAATATAGACATGCCGACCGCGTTCCGGGCTCAGCACCCGCAGTAATCGAAGCTACTGCTTCAGCACCCGGAAGTTTCGGCCTCTGGGCCCGGAACGCACGGTTATGTCTGTACAGTCCGTAACTTGTTTTTCATTGAACAAAGTGATTTCATTGAAAGAGGGAATTTCACCGTACTTGATGAATTCAAGGGTTGTTTAAGACATGAATTCTGCTAGAAGCGCAGAATTTAACGGCGTTTACTGAAAACAGAGGGAAGTCCACCTTGTCCTCAAATATGGAACTTGACGTCCTCAACTCTGATTGTGAGTTTGACTGCGTTTAGCCGGTGAAACGGTGCACAGTGGATCGAGTCAATTAGAGAGGCGGGACATGAAATTTTTAGCTAAAACCGCACATTTTGATGTTTATTTTGTCACATTTTAATTTTCAAGGGGTGTAAGTAGCTGAAAATTTCACGAGGAAAGCAATGGAGCCATTTTTAGACCCTTAAAATTTTGTGTAAATGGAGTTATAAGCGTTTAAAGTTTCCAAATCTTGTCCAACCTCTCCTATTAACTCGATCCACTGTGCGGCACAGAGAAATAGATCCAAATCAACATGCTCCTAGGTGAAAATATTGCCTACTCGTGAAAATTGAAGGCGTTTTGTCACGCAGTGACAGTATGCTGCTCTTGCTAGAGTATCGATTTTCACATCGGAATGATTTCTTTGAAAGAGGTAATTTCACCGTACTTGATGAATTCAAGGATTCTCGAAGACGAATATGATGGCCGGCGACTGATATAAAAGTGTTTGTAGAACCAGTGAATTTGAAAATAGATGGTAGGAACTACACAGATAACGCATCTCTAATGGTATATATTTTAACTTATAAACGTTAATAATATTAAAATTCTTATTTATAAATAAACTTAGAAATTCTAAATTCCCCTCTTATTATTAATTAACCCTGATACAAGAGATTAAAGATGGATATCTTTACTTATAATTAATTTATATTCCTATTTTAATCTTGTGTTTAAATGGGTGCCCATTGAAAGACAAAAAGAGCCTGCCGTGTTTAAGCATTTGACATACCATCAATGTGTACATTAGCTTTCAATCTCTAGTTTTTCTTCATTTTCTTTCGTTGCTGTAACTTCTAACTATTTTTTCTTCATTTCTAGGTGTCGGAAGAAATTTAAAAAAACTGGGAAGTATGGGTCTGGATTCAGGAAGAAAAATTGTTAAAGGTATGGCATCGTAATGAAGTTTCCTTCGGATTAAATGGACTGAGTTAAGCAGAAAGGAACCAACCCACAATTTGGAAAAAATTGAGTTTTGAGTGGTTTTGAACTCAACCACTGCTCTACTATCTATCGCCAAAAATTCAAAGTTTTCGTTGGAGCAAATTTTACAGAAATTGAACTTGAAGTTTATCTTTTACATTGAATCTTATGCAGGAGCCAAACTTTAAACCTCTTTTTCTCGGTTCGATCCCGATGTGGCTTGGTTCCTTTCTGTTTAACTCCGTCCAAATATCACGCAAAATGACATCGATATCTTAAGGTGTTATGTGATTTTCATCCCATTTTGAACTTAAGAGGACATCAGAGCCTGATCTAAAGTTTTATATTTTGATTGCCCGAGATAAATTATTAAATTAGTACCGCAATGCGTGAAATGTGGCGTCTATAGAAACCAAATGTGATGGGGGAAAAGGAAATAGAGGGTAAACAACAGCAAAATGGAGATTCATCTGATTGCAATAAAAATGTGCGCAGGAAGTAGATGGGTTCAGAGTTTTGGCAATGTCTGCGGGTCTCTTCATGGACACGATTGCTCGTAACTGTGAGTTAGTAATTAAAACCATTATTCCTTTTGAAAACGAAATTTCTGAAAAATTGAATGAATTTGCAGTAGATTAACCGCAAGTCTAATGTTCTGAAACTTTTCTGGCTATTCTGATTAAAACAAACGTTTGGTTTTGAAAATAGTGAAACACAAAATAAGGAAGTGCCACTCTTTACGAATGGAATTGAATTTGTGTGCTTCAGGAGGGCTCTTCCGAGCTCTCTCTAAGCCCGGGCCCTGGGGCTGGAGTCTCGCAGCCCCCCCCCCCCCCTATGGGGGCTTTATGCTCAATTAATCTGAAATAAATCATAAAATTCCAGTTTGCAATCAAAACAATGTGACAAAGATCTTCTGCGCATCTTAAGATTTTTGTCTCAGCAAAGTAATTTTTTCTTTTAAGACCAAGAAATTCATTAACATTCTATAAATGTCCTTTGCAGGAGCAGTGGGCAGCTTCAGTCGAAGTTTCAGCGGAATTCCGTCGTCTAGGAGAAGTGATGGAAGTATGGAACATTTGTATTTATACAGAATACTTTCAGTTTATTCAGTTACGTTTGGCCTCAAAAATATGCGTAAAAAACACCACGTAATGGACCACTAGACAAGGTACGAATTTCAGCATTCTGATACATGTCAATCAACCAAAATTTCACGTAAAACACGATGCGCACAACGAAAATTACAAAAATTAACTCCTTACGAAGCTATTTAGTGATTCTTGATGCGTGAATTCAAACCACCCGCTCATGAAAACTCAATGCTCTACGTGATTCACATCGAGCGCTAAACGTTATCATGGCAGTCTCTGCTATATAAAAATCTGGCAACCTCAATCTTGACACTCTGACTCAGCTATAGCAAATTGCTTGTAATTTAAACAAAACGTGGTGGGAAATGTATATTGCTTGACTGAGGGGCTTGCTGAAACCGTTGTAGTGCTCGATTTGACTCACGTAGAGCTTTGAGTTTCTTGTGAGCGGGCAGTTCAAATTTCTCGTAACCAATGTGAAATAAAAACGTTAATATCTTCTTTAGGAGTTGGTTTCAGTAATTTTCGTTGCATGAATCATGTTCTACGTGAAATTCTTGTTAAGAAACATGTATCAGATTGTTTAAATTCGTACCTTGTCTAGTGGTCCATTACATCATGTTCTGAATTTAATGCGTGCGAGGCAAGAGAAAGTAAATAGAAAAAGAAACAGCATTGCTAATGATTTTCATTTTTATTAAACTCCATTTTTTAATTTATTATTCTCTTGATTTAATGAAACATCCACGCGAAAAAGAAGAAAGAAAAAAACTGTAATAGAGCAGTATTTGTGGGAGAAGTACAAAATTTTGGAATGGAGTAACAGTGTTTTCGCTGTGGACGGCAGAGTACCGTTTTAATTCATCATTGGCGGATCCAGCAATTTGGCAACACCGGATTTCCTCCATTTAAACCTATGGAAAAGTATCGATTCTTGGAGGGGCCAGGTGCTCCGACGAGAATCGATTATTTAGCATAGGTTTAAATGGAGGAAATCCGTTGTTGCCAAATTGCTGGATCCGCCTCTATACTTCATTAGTAGCTACGGAACGTCGTAAGGTTCTATTGAGCAAGAATTTTCCAATTCTCACAGTCAGTCAATTGAAATTCAATGGGCTCTTTTTTCTGTTTATTTTTAGATTCGTTGTCTCGGGAAAGGGACTACAGAACCTCACGCACCAATTCTGCCGGTGATCAGCGGGAAATGGACCAAAAACCTAACCCTTCGATTCCACCAACTCCTCCCCCCACAGCGTCACTCATTAATCTGCCAGAAGAATTAACGCCACCCACCTGTGTCACTCAACCTCCTGCCCCTAAAAGACCCAGCCCCCCGCCTACCGCCACCAACAGCCCAAAAGCTTCGTCAAAACCCTCCTCTAGACCCTCATCTCCGACTTCGCCGAAAACCCCGCACCCTAAATCCTCACCCAAACGCTCACTGAAACCCTCTCGTGAACCCTCCCCCTCAGCCTCACCCCCTTCTGCGTGTAATAGTCTACCGCGCATCGGACCCATAGGTCCTGACGTTTGTCTATCAGACGTTTTGAACAGACTTGCAGCGGAAGGTGCATTCGAAGATGCATTAGAACGTAAATTCGAAGGTGCAATCGAGGGTAGAATCGAAGGTGCATTCAAAGGTGTACCCAGGAGTGCATCTGGGACTGGTTTCAGGAGTCCGCCGCGAGGTGATTTCAGAAGTAAATATATTCTACCATCTGAGGACCAGCCAAAGAACAACGACTTGCCCGAATGCACAACTGGACCCAAGTCTCTTTCAAGGAGTCGGTCCAGGTCTAGGAGTCGTTCTAGGTCTCCTCAGCCGAGCCCACTCAGATCTCCCATTTGGAGTCCACCCAAACCCTCTTTACCGAGTCCAAACAAACCCTCTTCACCGAGTCCAAACAAACCCTCCTCACCGAGTCCAATCAAACCCTATCCACAGAGTCTACCCAAGCCCTCTTCACGGAGTTCACACAAGCCTCCTACACCGAGTCCACCCAAGCCCCTACCAGCGAGTCCACCCAAGCCCCTACCAGTGAGTCCTCCCAAGCCACGCCAGAGAAGCCCTAGGCCTATGCCCATTCCTCTTCCTGGTAGAAACAGAATCGTTCCTCACAAACCTATGCCTTATTTTAAGGGTCCTGATGAGCGTGCTGATGGCCGTGACTGGGACAGTCAGGATCCTCAGGCTCATCTTTTTCAGAGAATGCAAAAAAGGCTCCTCTCTTACTTCTGTAAGTATCGCAACACTGGTCACACATGTTGTGGGAGTTTAAAGCATACATTTCAGATTGAAAATCAAAACTGAGAAAAATTCACAGAAGACAATAAAAATACTCGATCACTGGGACTGAAATTAGGTCTCCCTGATTTCAAAACAGAAAAGTTCACGAAAAATGGAATGTTGAATTTATTCCTATGTAACATCCTTCGTATTGAAGAGAATTTTGCAGGAATTTGTTTCATTAACGTCCAATTAAGATCGTTCCATAAAATTTCATGCAATGCAGTCTTAAAAAATGATGGAGCTATTCGCTTTCGCCGAGGGTAAAAGAAAGTAAGCACAGCATCCGGGCATTTTCCACTCAGAAAAGATTCATATTGATGAATTGGTTTAACTGATTTTGAGAAAAACCTGTGTAGATTCCAACAAGTCTCATCCTTAATCTCTTCATATACTTTATAATTATTTACCTCTGTCTGGAAGGTGATTCCAAATAATAAAAGGAAGAAGGTGATCTGCGAAATATCACAGCTTTCCAAGTTCTTAGTCTACGTCTACAATACACCCAGTTTTTGTCTCAAATCGGTAGTGCTATAAGCTGTAAATTCATCATTCATATTACGAATGTCTTTTTACTCTATAATTTTGATTATTTCCTATGTGCCTCCTCAAGGATTCTTAGAAATGCTGTTAGTGTGTCTCTAAACTCATTCTTGTGAAGAATGGCTGGACATTTTCATAGGGCATTTTTTATTTTAATTTAAAGTTGAACTTCTTTCTTAATGTTTTTAATGAACTTTTATTTTAATGTTTATTATATTTAACAGCACAGATGGAAGCTCCTAATAGGGAGGAATTCCGAATTTTTCTGGCAGAAGTTCACGACATTCAAATGGAACAGAGAGGAAGAAGAGGTCCACTAGACTCCAAAGACTTTCTTGAAAGATTCTGCCTGACATCGGTCCCTACCATCCAGAAAGACGGTTAGTTAAAAAATGTGATCTATTTTCCCTTCCCCGCAACCCAAAAAATCAGAGTGCCTAATTAAATGTAAGTCTGTTGAGCTTATTAGCAAGGAACCAACTCACATTCTAGAAAGAATTAGTATTTACGAGCTGTTTAGAGCCAAATTAGCCGTATTTTTTCTCCCGCTCAAAATTAAAAGGCGAACCATAGATTCAATGGGGATAATATCGGTAGATGATGATTCACGCCACTAAAGTAGCAGTGATCGCGAAAAGTTACGATTTAATCAGAGAACGTATCGCGATTTCATCGATGCCGATATATTTCAATATCATCGGATAGAAAATTGCGGTAAATTATGATTTCATTGCAATCGATTACGAATTATGGCAATATTATCGATAAAAAACCGTGGTTAATTGAGATAAAATTTCAATTTTATCGAAGAGTAACCGCTGAGATGGCATGATAATTCTACCGATTTTATCGCCAAAGATCGCGATTTTCCCGTTGAAAAATGCCACTTGGGCATTGGGGATCCACCAAGTTGGCAGGATTGTTGTCTTTTCATTTGAACTGAAGGAAATGAATCGATTTTGCATCGAGAGGTCTCGTGCTCCGACAAGAATCGATTATTCGACACAGGTTTAAATGGAGAAAGACCGCGTTGCAATCCTGCAGGATCCGCCCCTATGGTTCACGCCGCGGCACAGTGGATCGAGTCAATCAGAGAGGTCGCACATGAAATTTTTAACTAAAACTGCACATTTTGATGTTTATTTCGTCACATTTTAATGTTCAAGGGGAGTAAAAGAAAAAAATTTCACTAGGAAACCAATGAAACCACTTTTAAGACCTCAAAGTTGTGCATGAACGGAGTCGTAAGCTTTTAAAGTTTCCAAATTTTGTCCAACCTCTCTCATTCACTCGATCCACTGTGCGCGTTCAGATCGCGCCTACCTTCGCGGTAGGCGTGAAGAAAAGGTAAACGCCTTCAAATTTCGGCTATGCAACATTGACATCCATCAAGTACGAATAGTTGTATCAAGAAGTTTGAACCGAAGGCGCGGCGCGGGGCTCAGTAGATCGCGTCAATTAGAGAGGTCGGACATGGAATTTTTGACTAAAATTGCAAATTTTGATGTTTAGTCCGTCACATTTCAAATTTTTAGGGATGCTTCTAGAAGAAAATTTCACTACAAAACCAATGGAACAACTTTTAAATTCTCAAAATTTTGTATAAACGGAGTTATCAGTGTTTAAAGTTTCAAAATTTCATCCGACCTCTCTCACTGACTCGATCCACTGTGCGCGGCCACGTTCAGATCAGCGGGTTTGCTCAGCCTGGCAGCACGGCAGATATTTCAAGTGGAATTTTGTCGCGGAAAAGTTCAATTTCTTGTGAACCAAGATCAAAGGTCTGACTGAAAAAGCCGAATCAATGTACCAAATTGAAGCTCACAACATGAGAAATAAGGTCTCAGATATCCGAGTCATTTCCTAGCATCGTTTAATTTTTAAGGGAGCGAATGAAGAACCTCATTGCAATTTGCTAATGCGACGCAAGGTAAGCACAAGGCTGCACGGAGCAGTGGCGAGGCGTGAATGATCGATTTTCGATACTTCCCCATATGAAGCCATGGTAAAGAATCGATTATTAAGGCGTGCGTTGCGAACACCCTGTTTATCGATCCTTTCCCATAGCTTTAAATGGCAGATCAATCGATAAATCGGAAAGCACGCCACGACGCCACGCCACTGGCACGGAGGCAGAAAATCCAGTCTGTCTCAATGAAATTAGGTGTCTCGCAAACTGCTCTTCGAGTTCAAATGCAAAAAAATGGACTTTGAAAGCGGAGAGGATGCAATATGTGCAAATATGCTTGCATTCATTTATTAATGCGGCTTTCACTAATTTGCTAATGCGTTTCTAGGTACTATTATCTATGATGTACACCTATACCACCAGTCACCATATTGTAATCGTCTTTTATTAACATGTGTGTGACGCTGAATACTCTGCTCGCATATTTTCGAGTATTCGATACATCATCAATATCGATCGGAAAGCCCCCCAAAGCCCCTTTTGAATGGGGGGGGGGGGTAGTTGATACTCTCTACAGCCTCCAAACTCCACCACCAAATAACCTAGCTACGCCTATAGCTTGTGTCATACTATCAAATTACCCCAGCAAAATGTCTCGGTCAAGTGCTGTGATTGGTCCAAGTGATCAAATAAGCCAATCACAACGCCTAACTTTGATACTTTGATGGCTAGTGCGGATAGTGTGACACAGGCTTAAGCCTGACTCTATCACACATGTTTTGTCGTATAACTCTCAGTTCACACATTTCAGCGGTCAATACTGCTGCCTTGAAACAAGACTGCGCGACATTCTGCGCCGATGCATATGGCTATATATTCAAACCGTCCGAGTGGGAAGATCCCGAGAACGAACTCGACTTTTTCGCTTGCGGGACCCTCATTCCAATTACCCGCGGTGAGGTCTGCCTCAACCCCCCACCCCAGTTCATTAGCGCCGATGAAATAAAGTTCGATTGCGTGTGCACGACAACCGTTGACTTCCAGAAGATAATGGACAACCAAAAAATCGGGTTAACGGGGTTTTACCGAGCAAAGCAAAGGTCCTCGAAGGAGGCGGTGGCCTGGTTACGCGAGACTTTGGAGGATGCCGACAGTGAGTTTGAGGTGGTGACAATGGAGGACTTTTATCTGAAGATCAAAGCTCTCTTCAGGAAATACAAAGTCCCTGATCCTGACGTCAGCTATCATTTAAGGTACCTGCAGAGCAGACAAGCTGGCGGACAGAGTGAGGAAAAGGCGGACGCGAAATACTGGGAGGACATGTTGTTCAGACGATGAGTCCCAGCGCCCGGCTGTCAATGGTTCCTCTCGTAATCTGCTTTTGTTCATTTTGTATAAATAATAATTCAATAATTCCAATAATTCAATAATTAATAAAAACACTTTCATAATACACATTATTCCAATAATATAGATTTATACTAACCCTGTAATATACTGGAATAATCTGGGGTATACTGTTCTTACTAAGATTTTTAATTGCCATTTCGGTTTATGCTTCAAATTAGTTATTTTATTCGATGACGTTTTTATTTTGTCCCTGCTAAAAATGATTAGTAGGCTCACTCATTTTTGTCCCATGTACATCCTTAGAAATACTACTCACATTTCAGGGCAGGATTAGCATTCAGGAACCCTGTTGTGCTGGTCCTATGGGGCCCCAAATCCTAAAATTTAAGGGCTTCATGACACCTAAAAGTTGAGTCTTAGGGCCTCTATCCAAATCTGCCTTTTAGATTCTAAAGACCTCTACAGGATCAAGAAATAAAAAAAAAAAAGTTTTCCAGGGGGGCTCGGGGTGCTAGAGCACCCCGCCAACCCGGCTAATCCAGAGCGGTCCTGCTCATGTTCTAGAGTTTTCTTTTAATATCGAAAAGGAATTCTATTTACACAGTTTATGTTTTTTCAATTTTACTCAAATTCAATTTCGGGACAGAAGGTATCGGGCAATTATGCACAGTTTAAAATTTAAAAATTTAAACTTGAAAATGCTTGAAAGCAAAAATTGAAGAGGAGTGGAAAGAACATGAAGCGGAAGAGCAAGCAGGTTTCAGAGCCGGTCGGTCAACGATTGATCACTTATTTACCATCATCCACGTCATAGAGAAAAAGAAGGGAGTTGGCCAGGAATTACATCTAGTGTTTGTGGATCTCCAGAAAGCTTACGATAGTGTGCCATTGATGAAACTTTGGGAAGCCTTGAACAAAAGGGGTTTTAGTGGGGGACTAATTAGTGCTATTAAGGAATTTTATGGTGGGGCTTTCTCTAGGGTTAAATCGCATGGGGAGTTATCGTTGGGGTTTTTAATTACTAAAGGACTGAAACAAGGGTGTTGTTTGTCGCCAACCTTATTTAAAGTGTACCTGGAAGAAGTTTTAAAGGAATGGAAAAGATGCTTTTCGGGAATGGGCGTCCCGCTACGTGAAGATGGCACCCTTTATACTCTGTGCTTTGCTGATGATCAGGTGGTAATAGCTCAGGACGAAGAAGATGCGAATTACATGACGCGGAAGCTAGTGGAAGTATACCGAAAGTGGGGAATGGAAGTAAATGTGGTTAAGACGGAGAAGTTGGTTATCGGTGGTGATCAGCAAAGCATTGAACTGGAGGATGGCCGGAAGATCCTGGACTGTGAAGAGTATAAATATCTCGGAGTTCGGTTAACTAAGGACGGAAATTTGGATCGGGCCATTAAAGATCGGAATGTGCAAGGCAGGAAAGCTATCGCGATGCTAAATGGGGTTCTCTGGGACCAGAGTATCTCCAAGGAGACCAAAAGGAAAATTTACAACGTCATCGTGAAGAGTATCGTAACTTACGGGAGTGAGGTCTGGCAACTTAAGAAAAGAACTGAAGACATGCTTAGGGCAACCGAGATGGACTTTTGGCGAAGGTCTGCTGGGATATCGAGAAGAGAGCGTATCCGCAATGAAAGGGTACGCGAGATAATGGGTGTGGAAAAGGACATTGTGCACGATATCAGGTCCAAGCAGTTGGTCTGGTATGGACATGTGCGAAGGATGGCAGATGATCGGTTGCCCAAGCAGGTCTTCGATTGGGTTCCTCCCGGAAGGCGACGGCGTGGACGTCCTGTGAAAGGTTGGCGACAAGGGGTGGAGGAGGAGATCAGAAGGTGCCAATTGCCTGATGATCTCTGGGAGGATAGGGGGCAATGGCGATTGGGCGTCGCAGAGCGCGAGGCGGCGCTATAATCGCGACTTTATGTATGTATGTATGTAAAATTTAAAAATAATCAGATTAGGAACTGGAATTTTTTTTTTGATTCGGTGATTAGTTTCCGAGATATCAGGAACCGCAGATTCAATAGTATGGCTTGATCTCTTTACTCATAAATCGGCCAAAAAAGAGAAGGGCGATTCAACTAATACCCCTGGACGTTTTACCGGCATCAGCAGTGATTCAACTGATATCAGTACAGATCCAAGTGATATCAGCAGAATTTCTTACTTTTTCCTATTCATCACCTCCTGCAGAGGCAGCCGTCCATAATGACTTGAGATTTGCCGGGNNNGGGGGGGGGGGGGGGGGGTTGGTTCTCTCTTTTAACCATTTTTTAACGTTCCAAAGTGGTCTTCCATAACTTAATTGCCGCGTTGAACCCCCCTAAAAATCACGCACTCTTGACCTCAATCATACCTTTCTCAAGGTTTCTTTCGCTTGCAAAAGAACTGCTCCATTTGTCCATATGGAGCCACGGCCCTGATCAATAGTCCAACACCGAAAAAAAGAGGTGCTGTAGTAACATCCTGAATGTTAAAAAAACGTGCGACAACTTTTGGATGTTGTCATTACCACCCTGACTGTTAAAGTAACATCCTAGGGTGTTACTTTTACATCCTATCATGGTACGTCAACTCCCAGAGTGTAAATAGCAACATCCAAAAGGTGTTGCTTATTTTCTCAAGAATCGTAACATCCGGGATGTTACAACAGCGTCTTTTTTTCTCTTTTTTTTCGGTGAATGAGCTAACCACTCGCAAATCACAACCTCGTGCTGACATCGAGAGAAACAAGAGTATACATTAGCTCAGCAAAGCATTTTCTTCAAAGGTGTCTCAGAGTAATCTACTCAGATTTTCGTCAACTTAACCAAAAAACTGTATTTTACCGTCCTTTTTGTTGATGTAAGGAAACGAAGAAGAAAGTGGCTCAAAATAATCTGAAGAATCATAAACACGATAAGTTTCAACTGTGTAGTTGGTTTCCTATACTGCCGTGCTAAGGAGAAACGCCGTGTGAGCCTTCAGGCGTTGCCAAGTTTCCTCCGAGAAAAACCGAATTTACTGGGAAAATTGCGAATATTATGTTCCAAAATTTTCAGACAATTTTGTACGCAATTGAATCTAAAATGTCCGAAAATTTCAGCTGGCAAAATATGCTTGAATGTCGTCAAAAGTACATGTTTTATCAAGAGAAATTTGGCAACTGTCGAAGGTTCATACGGCGTTTTTCCTTAACACTGCAGTGTATTATACTGATCGTAGCGCTATGCCTATTTGCGATCGGCGTGAAGAAAAGGTAAACGCCTTCAATTTTTGGCTATGCAACATTGACATCCATCAAGTACGAATAGTTGTATCCGAGAAGTTTGAAGTATAGGCGCGGCGCGGCGTCTCTTATATCTTTCACACTCCAACCTCTGAGTAACATCGAGAGAAACAAGAGCACCCATACATCATACATTAGCTCAGCAGGACTATTTCTTCATCCTCAGATGTCTCAGAGTTACCTACGGATTTTGTCGATTGAACCGAAAATTTGTTCAGTCAACCACGTTCTCTTGGTAAATCCAACCGAAAAAAATAACTCGAAGTAACCATAAACACGAAAATTTTTAACCGTGTTCGACGTAGCGCAACTTACTTAAAGAAATCATGTCTCATTTCAACGGTGTGAGTCCGCAACTCCGCAACCACGTATATCGTATGCAGTGTTTGAAAATCTCCGCTCCTATTTTATTTTGGGAAAGGAGAACTCGAATCATTCCTTAAAGTTTTCGCAGAATTTCGTTCGCACAAAGCAGAAAAATCACGGCAGTTTTTAAGAATTACCGTTGAGTAATACTTCATTTAACGCATGAGGTATGACAGGTAGCCTGCTACGTTGCAAAGCGAGATGCGTGTTTGCGGACTTCCACCGTCGACTTACTCTGCACAGTAAGAAATTGTAACCAAAATTTTGTGTTGATCTGGGAAGTAAAACACATAGCACCACGAGCTGTTGGTCAAATATTTTTGTTTCAGTTTTCCCTTCGTCGAATCAACTAAATCTGTGGGTTGTGGTGACCAAATTTTTGTGTTGGAAATCTACGACCTCGTTAAAATTCTGCGCCAGCCGCCAGGATCGAACCTGAGGCGTACCTGAGGTAATTCAATGGGCTAGTCATTCGTATGTCTCAACCTCTGATCAGTGGGAGGAAAACTAGAGTATAGAGTTCCATTTAACACAAAATTGTGTTAGCAACCATGAACCAAGTCATTTGGGTTGATCTAACAAAAAAAAGTAACAGAAAGTATCATGGAGAAACACTGAACATGGAAGTTTTTAATTGTATCTATATTACGGGTCAACAGCGGGCTGATGATGAAATTGATAGACAAAGCTGTGCACAAAGAAGGCAAAAGGAATATAAAGGAGCCCTATCGTTGGAAGCGGGTGGTTGCAATGGACAAGGAAGGTAGGTAAACTTACTGACGGCAACCCACGAGAGACCATGTAGCTAGTCTATAATTTTCTCCCATAGTCTACAGGAACCAATCATTTCAACCAATAGGATCGTCCTATATTCCCTATGTATTCTTTGCCTATCGCTTTGTCCATCAATTTCGAGGAATCAATTTCGAGAACTGTTCCAACACGATATAGTTATTCTCTAACTTCGGACCAATTTCTGAAATCGATGGACAAAGCTATGGACAAAGAAAGCAAAAGGAATATGGAGGGGTCCTATTGGTGGAAGCGGATAGTTGCAATGGACAAAGAAGGTAGGTAGAAGACTTACGAACGGCAACCCAAGAGAGACCATACAGCTAGTCCATCATTTTCTTCTTTAGTCTACAGGAGACAACCATTTCAACCAATAGGATCGCCCCATATTCTCTACGTCTATTTTGTCTATCACTTTGTCTATCAATTTCAATAATCAGCCCGCTGTCTCCTTTAGTCTATAGGAGACAACCATTTCAACCAATAGGATCGTCCCATATTCGCTATGTCTCTTTTCTATCGCTTTGACTATCAATTTAACCAATCAGCCCGCAGAACAGATAAATTGTAATGTGGCGAGCTGCGCGCGCAGATGTGACGTAGCCGACCACCGAGCAAGAGAGAAATGA